TGCCAATGCGCGTAGACATATACTTCGTATATAGTAAAAATAAAACAAAATCATTTTGCCCGTGCATTGCACGGGTAAAGATACTAGTTATGTCATATTCTTAGGAATGGTTTTAGAATACAGGGGTGGTTCAGAATCTTCAGATTGTTTTTTCGTTTACTTTACAAAGTGCAGTAACATTATTTCTCTTTTGCAAAATGTAGCTTTTCTGTTTAGATTTTTTTCTACATATTTGAGCTAAAGAATATAGAAGAAAGTGAAGGCTAGAATATGAGAAAATGTAGTTTGTGTTGATTAAACTTGTTTTATTGTTACATATTTTGCATAAATAGGTTATTGCCTGAAACTAGTTTACGTAGGAAAATAAGTTTTATTTTGAGTTGTTCTGCGTAGCTATTTTATAGGAATATGGATAGGTTTTGAATTGGTAAAAAATAATGGAGTAGATCATGAGTGAGTTGCTGAATTGTAGCAACCACTCTCTTATTCTTTGGTTTGCTTATAAATGAAATAAACTGGTGATGAAGCCATACATAGCTTCACACCAAAGTTAAAAAAATTCAGAGTGTCTTCTTGCTTGTTTGAACTTATATTACTTCGTGTGATCATTTTTCTTTTGTTAGATCCTACATTTGGTATCAGAGCGTCAGGTAGAGTGATCACACACAACCACGACCGGGAATTCTCACTCAAGCAACAAAGAAGAAGGAGAGAGCTCAGTTACCCTAAAATACCCCATGCTGACAAGGAGCAACTATGCAGCGTGGGCTATCAAGATGGAGGTTTTCATGATAGCCCAAGGCGTGTGGGATGCAGTGAAGGCCGAAGGAACGGTTGACAACCGGAAGGACAAGATGGCCCTTGCTGCAATCTACCAAGGGATAGGAGAGGACACTCTTCTTCAACTTGGAGCCAAGAAGACTGCAAAGGAAGCCTGGACCATGTTGGAAAACATGCATCTGGGGGCAGATAAGGTGAAGGAAGTCAACACTCAAACTCTATGGAGAGAGTTTGAAGGGTTGAGGATGAAAGAATTTGAAACTATAGATGAGTTTTCAGAAAAACTGATTGTCCTTGTAACAAAGCTAAGGAGTCTGGGTAACACAGTGGAAGAAGTTAAAGTGGTGAAGAAGCTACTCAGATCAACTTCAAGAAAGTTCTTGCAGATCACCTCTTCAATTGAAGAGTTTGGAGACATAGAACACAAGACGGTGGATCAAATTGTTGGGTCCTTAAAAGCTCATGAAGGAAGAATGCAAGACTTTGGAGCTGATGAAGAATCTGTTCTTCTAACAAGGGCAGAGTGGAAGGCAAAAGAAGATCCCAAGTCCAACAAGAAGCCCTCTAGAGATCAAGGCAACACTATGGGTGGAAGAGGGCGTGGACGTGGGAGAGGTAGGGGAAGAGGCAGAGGTGATGCCTCACACCCTACTGATGAAGGAAGTTCAAACTTTCAGAAAAAAAAGTTTGATAAAAGCAAGATTAAGTGCTATGCATGTGGACAAATGGGGCACTTTGCAAGTGAGTGTCAGTCCAAAGAGAAGAATGAGAGGGCTCATCTGACTGAGAAGCAAGATGAAGAAGGGGAGACCTCTTTGTTGATGATGGAGACCCGTGAGCTTGTGAGTTCATACAAAGGAGCACAGGATATGACAATGCTGCTTCAAGAAGAGAACAAAACCTCAAGCACATGGTACCTTGACACAGGTGCCAGTAACCACATGACTGGAGATAGGGGTTGCTTCACAGAACTGGATCATTCAATAAAGGGAAATGTAAGGTTTGGGGATGGTTCAATAGTGGAAATATGTGGTCAAGGGTCCATGCTACTTGAATGTAAGAATCAGGAGCATCTAACTTTGTCAGGAGTCTATTACATTCCAAAACTTAAGAGTAACATCTTAAGCATTGGACAATTGGATGAGGAAGGAAACCAATCTGTGATAGATGGAGGGTCTCTAAAGCTCTACAAAAAAGGGAAATTGCTGCTCAAGGTGAGAAGACAAACCAACAGATTGTATGTAATTAATCTTCAGCATGCAAAGAAGGTATGTCTCATGGCTAATATTGGAAGCAAGGAATGGCTATGGCATGCAAGGCTGGGGCACCTGAATTTCAACTCCATGCGGAAGATGCATGCACACAATTTGGTGGAGGGTATGCCGAGGATTGAACATGTGAGCCAGGTTTGTGATGGGTGTATAGTAGGCAAGCAGCACAGGACTTCATTTCCACAGAATTCAATGTTCAGAGCCAATCAACAGCTTGAATTGACTCATATTGACATCTGTGGCCCTATTGCACCACAGACCTGTGGAGGAAACAGGTATTTCATGTTGATAGTAGATGATTATTCTCGTTTCATGTGGATTTACATGTTGAAAACCAAAGATGAAACCTTAAATCACTTTAAAAAATTTAAAGTGGGCGTTGAGGTTGAGACTGACAAGAAACTTAAAGGCCTAAGAAGTGATAGAGGAGGGGAATTCACTTCTGCAGCTTTTAGGGAATTCTGTGAGGATCATGGTGTGAAGAGGTTCTATACTGCACCTTATTCTCCACAACGGAATGGTGTGGTTGAGAGGAGAAACCAAACCATTGTAGAGATGGCAAGATGCATGCTGAAGAGCAAGCAAGTCCCTTCTCAGTATTGGGGGGAAGCTGTAAAGACTGTTGTATATATACTGCTGTATATAGCCTGGTTTGGTAAGGTTCCAAAGGTGCATCATCTCAGAGTATTTGGATGTGTGGCTCATGCAAAAAATGTGAGACCACATCTTCCAAAACTGGCAGATAGGAGTATTAGATCTGTGCTACTTGGATATGAAGAAGGTTCAAAAACCTACAGGCTGTTAGAACCAAGACAAAGAAGGATACTTATCAGCCGGGATGTCATATTTGAAGAAGATAAAAGCTGGTGTTGGGAAACTACATATTATCAAGGCCAAGATAGTGGGAGTAACTTCACTGTGACATCAATCTCTTAAGGGCAAGTGGTGAGTAACACAGATGAAGGCTCAGAATCTCATGATTCTAACACTAATACACCCACATCATCCCCTTTTCATTCTGTTAAAAACTCAAACTCAGATTCAGATAGTCCAAAGAGATACAGATCTCTACAGGAGATCTATGATGCCACCAGGGAAGCTGATGAGGAGGCAGGATTGTGTTTCCTAGCATTATGAGAGCCAATCACTTATGAAGAAGCATCAAAGGATGAACATTGGAGGCAGACTATGGAACAAGAGATACATTCCATCAAGCAGAATGACACATGGGAACTCACAAGTCTGCCAAGTACACACAGAGCAATAGGCCTTAAATGGGTCTATAAACTCAAGAAAGACCCAAGTGGGGAGGTGGTCAAGCACAAGGCTAGGCTGGTGGCAAAAGGCTATGTGCAGAAACATGGAGTAGAGTACAATGAAGTCTTTGCCCCAGTTGCCAGGATGGAGACAGTCAGAATGCTCTTGGCCTATGTTGCACAAAGAAAGTGGGAAGTTCATCATATGGATGTAAAAACTGCCTTCCTAAATGGGGAACTAAAAGAGGAGGTATATGTATCCCATCCAGAAGGTTTCATTGATGAAGAAAAACCACATTTGGTGCTGAGGTTGAAAAAGGCTTTGTATGGGTTAAAGCAAGCACCTAGAGCTTGGAATTTCAAGTTAGATCAAAGCTTGAAAACTCTTGGTTTCTCAAAACGCCCTCATGAACATGCAGTCTATAAGAAGGAATCACAAGGTAATATCTTGATAATTGGTGTATATGTGGATGATCTTATACTGACAGGGTAAAACAGGATCATTATCAACACATTTAAGGAAGAAATGAAGCAGGCTTTTGACATGAGTGATTTGGGACTTCTGAGTTACTATCTTGGGATTGAAGTAAGTCAGAAAGAAGGTGAAATATCCTTGTGTCAAACAGCTTATGCAAAGCGGGCACTAGTGCATAAACTGCATTTTATAACTAGCATTTCGTATGGGGTTATATGGCACCGTAATAGTTTCTAGGCACGGAGCCAAAAGTGTAATTTTTAAAAGTTTATGGTGCCTTACTGTGATTAATAAAGGTGAATTTAGGTTCATTCTATAACCGTTCAAATAAAAACCGATGTTAAATATAAAACGGGGTGATATTCATAATATTTGAAAACTTTAAGTTTGAAGCGGGGTTCTTTTTATAATATATATTGAAAACAATGTTTTAATATCAGTTATAGATTAGCCCTTATTGAATGTCTAATTATATTCCCTAAAAAAAGAATGTTTAATTATAACCCTCCCTGCCCTAGACTTCTACGAGAGAAGACAGAAGAACCAAGATTGCCTCTGCGGCTAGCTGACTTCCCGCTAGTCCTCCGCACAGCTGAACGCCGAACGGCCCTCTCTCCTCACTGACGAACGTTGCTACTTCGTCAGTATACATCATCGCCTCTCCCCTCACCGCAGTACGCAATTTCATCGGTCTCTCTCCACGGCTGAACTCAGCTTCGCCGGTCTCTCCTCACCGCTTAACGCTGCCTCCACGATAGCAGCAACAGGCTCTCTCATCACCGCTGAATGCCACTTCCACATCACTACCTGACGGCTCTCTAAATCTACCACACCATACCCTCTACTCTTTCTATGTAAACAAGTACTATTTTGGTACACACTAATCATGTGATTATTGGTTATACATTTTTGGGTTTTAGATACACATTTATATGCGGTTTGTTTGATTCTTGTACCTTTGATGTTTAGTCTGGTATAAAATGAAATACTTTATCTAGAAATTTAAATTTTCAATTTTCAATTTAGAATGCTCACCATCTGTATGTTGAATTTCCTTAATGATACTCCATATAAGTTATTTTGTAACTTGGATACTCACGCTTTGCTCTTCACCTTTCTGTTTTACTTCACTGACTTCTTCATCTAATTTATTTATTTCTGCCTGCATCTTCATGGGTTCTTCACACTATTTTAAGAATTACCGGCAACCATAATCTCCTGGTATGGACTGCTGCTGCCTGCTGCTAACCATGTCAGGGTCCTCATTTTCTTTTAGTTTTTTGGAGGCTGCACAAAATAAGTATATTAGTAGTAATACTCAAGGGAAAATTAATTTAAATTTTAAACACCCAAACTTCAGAAAATTAATTGAGTACCTCTAACTTATGTATGTCAAATATCCTCACTATATATTAAAAGTGATCGTAGCTTTGGGGTGAAATAGATGTCAGGGATGTGCAAATTAACCATGAATGCATTTTTTTCTTTCAAACCATAAGTTTCTGGGGCTAACTGCACACTTTATAAGTCCAAATATTTGAGAGTGAGCACTTAACATCCCATACATACATTGGTAAAGTATAGAATATGCGTTCATGGTGTTCATATGTAATTTAAAATTTTATGAATGTTTGGCTAGTAGAGACCTGTCCCCGGTTTTTGGTTCAACCGGAATTGGAACCGGCAGTTTTTTAACCTGAACTGGAAGCAAGGGACATTTTTAAAAGAGTAAATAATACCGTAGTAAGTATAACTTCTTACACACTACTAGTTATAATACCTTTTTATTACAATTATAGTAATATCTGTTTATTTATTCATTTATTTATTTAGGTACTTATATATTTATTTATAATGTCAATACTATTTATAGATGATAACTATAAATGTTATCTATGTAAACAGGAACATGAATGATGAAGAGCAAAGTAGATCAAGCAACAATAATAGAAAAAAAGAGTAGACATCCCACAAGGATGAAGGCTTTGATTTGTAATCGTGAGGTAATTAATTTGCATGATCTATTAAACATAACTATTTTCATTGACTATTTGCTCATTTTCTATTTCATTTTGTAGCTAATAGGACACTACCTTTCAATTTTGATAGAGATGGAAACCCAATGGGTCCAAATAAGAATGCATTTATTAGTTTTATGACTAATACACTAATTCTAATTGGAAAGCAAGCCGTTGGGGAGTGAGTTAAAAACCAGATTGGGGAGACCATCCAAGTAACCATTTTTGTATTTTTCCCAGGGAGCAACTATAGTTCTGTTATGTTTAATTCATACTTGAATGTGGGTGTAGGGGCTTTCTTAAAAGCTTATCACACATATTTTCATCCTCTATCACAATCTCACTGTTTTATGCTACTTTGATGTTCTGTTTTCTGATATTATCACACATATATTCCAAATCAGTAAAAAAAGTATATTGCATGTTCTTATGGCCTTCAAATATGACAACATGTTAATATTGTATACATTTATTATGATTAAATTTACTGGAATTTGTATGGGATGTGTGTTCGAAAGAGTAGTACACATCTGCATGTTTTTTTACTCAACTGACTGAGTGAAGGATACAAAGAGTGAAGGAAACAAAGAGTGCAGGAAACAAAGAGTGTTACTTACTACCATACTACTATCCGTAAGATATTTTATTTTATTATTTACTTTTCATTTTAAGTGTGAATGGATATGGGAGTAAATGAGTATGATGGTTTATCTAGGTGCACTCCTACCACGAGCTATGTGCTTAGGTCTTTTGGGGTTGTGTCTGACTTGGTAGTTCTGACCTCTTTTTCAACAATTAGCTTCTTTGTCCTCTGTATGTGCTTACCCTAGCACTATTGGGTTAAAGATGAATAATTTGAAATCAAAGAGTGCCTTTTTCTGACTTAATTGAAGTTGTTACTTATGTTCATTGCAGTATACCATTGACAATTGTTTGTGTTGTGCCCGAGAAAAAACTTAATTGTGTTCTTGTGCTCTTTGGGGAACAAACCAAAGGCAAACATTAAGAATAATCTAGATTTGTAAGACATTATTTTAATAATATTAAATTGGTGAATTTATGCAATGTTTCCATAACATATACATTGACTAATTTTTGTTTCCATTAGGGCGATACAAGCACAACAAGTGACCAAAAGTAAAAATATTTCCCAGTCAAATGGGTTAAGCCAATCGAAAGTGATGTTTATATTTAACTTCAAGTACTATAAGTTGTTTATAGTTTATATGTTTATGTTATTATAGATAGTGCAAAAATTACATTTCAGCTTCAACTTTGTTGATTTTATTAGTCAACTATGTTCATTCAAATTTCAGTTTATTAATTCAGTTTGCAGCTCATAGTTGTTAGGTTTGATTATATTGTGTCAGTTGAAGGGATAAAATCAATTATACTATGTCTTTTACAAAAATACATTTCAGCTTCTAGTTTATTGAATTCTTTATTTGGGGCTGCAATATGTTCATTTCAGTTTGCAGTATATTTATTTTCTTAAGATTCACTTTGCACCTTATTAATGTTTTAGTTTGTAGTTTATTGATATTTCAGTTTGTGACTTAATGTTTTAGATTCAATTTATTAAGTCAAGGCTTTGTATCTATTATTTTAGTTGGGTAATGATTGAATTTGTATAATGTGTATTGACTTGGTGCCTTATTTATTTGCAGCCTCGAATGCAAAGGGGAAGTTCTGAATGTGGATGGAGGTGATTAATTATTATTGATGTTTCATTATATTTTTGTGTTTATTTCTTTTACTTCATTTTTACTTATTTGTTTATTCTTCATATTTCATCTTGTAGACGTTCAACGTGCAAGACTCATTTAGTAAACAAGATATCAACGAGACTGGAGAGTGTTGGGCATTGCTTTTCTGCTAAGCAACTACTACGTACCATTTAGTATTTATTTAGTAGAAAATATTCTTAGTATTTGAAATTGATATGCAATTTTGTTTCCAACTTTTTTGAATTTTGATGGTGTAAAATTATAGTGTTCACATTTTACTAGTATGATTAGTACTAAATTGAAATGATATATGGTGTTTGTATACTATGATTGTTTGTGAATAGCATTAGATAATCGATTTGTGAAAACTTCATCATAAATATTTATTAAATCTATAGCAGGGTTACTGACATTGAATAGCACTGATATAATAGCAGGGGAAAAAAATACATTTGATAACGGTTCATATTGAACTGACATTAAAAGTTTACAATAAGGGTTACTACGAGGAGCCCATGTGGATTGTGCAGTACTAAAATTAACGTATGTAAACTATATTTGATAACGGTTGGCGCCCAACCGATGTAATAGGTATTCTATAACGGTTAGAATAACCGACATAGAAAGTGACCGAGTTTTTATAACAATTGGAACAATGTCGGTTCCCGAACCGACATAGAATGTCATTTTTAACCGTTATAAAATGTGTTTTTTCCACTAGTGGGGTGTTGGACAATTTTGGCATGGGAGACTATAACCCATGTCATTTGCCCATGGAACCAAGAATCAAGATGAGCAAGCATGCAAATGGGGAAGAGTTTGTAAATGAAACCACATATAGGAGTATGATTGGCAGCCTAAGATATCTTGTGCACACAAGACCTGGTCTTACCTACTCAGTAGGGGTAATGAGCAGGTATATGGAGGCACCTACAACACTGCATTTGGGAGCTTATCACATGGACATCACAAAAGCAGAAGGTGGTAGCCTTGTCATCCTGCGAAGCAGAGTATATAGCAGTTACAGCTGGAGCATGTCAAGGCATATGGCTTGCAAATATGCTAAAGAACTTGAGAGGAGATTCAGATATTCAGGTCACACTTCATATTGACAACAAATCTGCCATCGCATTGGCAAGGAACCCAGTTTATCATGACAAGAGCAAACATATTGACACCAGGTTTCACTTCATTCGTGAATGTGTGCAAGAGGGGAAAGTGAAGGTGCAACATGTGAGAACTGAAGACCAGCTAGCTGACTTGATGACAAAATCATTGCCAAAGCAGAAGTTTGAGGAACTACGAAGGAAGATGGGAGTGAGTCGAGTGACCAAGATAAAGTAATTTCAACTAGGACAAGTTTAAGGGGAAGAATGTTGATTAAACTTGTTTTATTGTTACATATTTTGCATAAATAGGTTATTGCCTGAAACTAGTTTACGTAGGAAAATAAGTTTTATTTTGAGTTGTTCTGCGTAGCTATTTTATAGGAATATGGATAGGTTTTGAATTGGTAAAAAATAATGGAGTAGATCATGGGTGAGTTGCTGAATTGTAGCAACCACTCTCTTATTCTTTCGTTTGCTTATAAACGAAATAAACTGGTGATGAAGCCATACAGAGCTTCACACCAAAGTTAAAAAAATTCAGAGTGTCTTCTTGCTTGTTTGAACTCATATTACTTCGTGTGATCATTTTTCTTTTGTTAGATCCTAAAGTTTGTTTCTATGATTCTTCTTCTCTTTTCTATGAGAAAATCTCAAAATTTCATGCCAAAGGTAAAACTGCATTTTTTTATTATGCTCTTTTTTATATATTGAACTATGGTTTTTGACTAAGCAAGTTGGAATTAGATTTATGGAGTTAAGAGTGAGTTCTGATCATTTGAGGGTGTTCTGATCATTACGTGGAAGACGTGTGCATGGGTTGGGGTTGTGCAGACTGCGTGGAGTTCCACCAGAATCCTCACATCATTTATTTGTTTCCTGCTAGGTTGCACAGCTGGTGTGGCGGCAATCCGGTTGGGACTTCATTGGGAGTGGAGTTGTTTCTTTTCTTGGTTGGTTGGAGGCTTTTTTGGTGCAAGTAATAGAGAGGATTGCAGCTTCATTGTTATGGTTTATTAAGGTTTGTGGCTGGCCTAAAATGAAAAGATGCCGCAGAATATTACATGAACCCCGAAGGCCCGAAGCCATTTTAGCACGGTGAAAGCCTTTTGGTCGGCATGGCAGCAAGCCCAAAAGTAAGGGGCCAACAAAAGGAATTTGCAGTAGGTCCGGTCTATGTGGAAAGCTTTATCCTACAACAGGTAGGATAAAACTGAATATTGATGGTGCTGTGGTGGGAGACGGATGGGGACTCGACTGCAGGGGTGGAGACAGGGAGGAGCTGGAGGTGGTCACGGTCCCTACAAGGAAAAAAATTCTTAAGTATATACTCCCTCCGTCCCCTTAAGTTTGTCCTGTTTTACCTTTTTCGTCCGTCCCACTAAGTTTGTCTCATACCATATTTGGTAACATTTGAGTGGTTAGAATTCATTCTTACTTTATTTACACTTTATCAATTCAATACCAACCACACAATTCCACTTTTTCTTAAAAACCACACCACACCCCTCCGTCCCAAACTTAGGGGGACAGAGGGAGTATTATATATAAATATTTTGGGTTTAATTGGGTATAACATTATCCCTAAAGTTGGAGTTATTTACAACATTACCTAAAAGTACTAAAAAGCACCACTTGGTAGCTTTTAGATTTTGACTTAAAAGCACTTTAAAAAAACAGAATCTGAGGTTAGCAAACACTATTTTTAGCTTTTCCAAAGCTAAAAGTTCCAAAGTGCTTAAAAAAGCAAATGCAAACACTGCTTCAGTGGGTAGCTTCATAGCAGGAGGGTCATCTAAGGTGCTCGGGAAGTGCTCTGTTTGTGAAGCTGAAATCTTCGGTACCCGAGAAGCATAAAGTTGGGTCATGAATTATGACTTGAATGACGTCGAATCTGATTCGATCCAACCAATCCAAGCTCCATAATTGCTTTTGGGATGATCGCTGAGGATATTAGATAAATTCAAGCAAACTTTGTTAGTCTTGATTTTGTTTTTATATTAAACGATATGTGAACCGGGTGACTCACTCCTTAACAAAAGCGTCAAGTTCCTTGTTTGATTGGTGTTCTTGGTTTTAATTTTCTCCAGCTTGTATTCTTTTTTTTATATCTTAATCATGATTTAATTAATTATTTTCCCTTAAAAAATTACTATTACTGTTGAATGGGTGCCTGACTTTTTTGTATGTTTAATATTCTATGAACATTTGATTTTTACTACTTCGAGGTTCGAACCATGAAACATTCTCATAGCAATAAAACTGCCTGCTAAAATATGCATCGTATTAGTTTTAACTATATTTAATCATTTATATTCTAGGGAAGTAAGTATTAATTTCATTCTTTATAATTATATAGAACGGAATTAATGAACTTTCTTGAGTGAGATGTTAAATGATTGCTTTATTTCAAAGTTTTTTTAATACGGAAAAGATACATTATTTGTATGCAAATAAGTCACAGTTAAATTGGGTAAATTTCTTAGATCAGCTCTTGATGGGAGATGCAAGATTCGCACTCATTCTTTACAACAACGAGAGTATGCATTCTTCAGATATAATGTGGACATAAATGTATCTTTGGGATGCTAAAAGATTGATAGTTGCTAAAGCTAAAAATGTGTATTTGGGAATACTATTATCAAATGAAATAAATTGTATACATGTGCATAGATCTTTGAATAATTGGATGGCTACGTGAGCAATTTGTTTGTTGGTTATCCCGTGCAAAGCACGAGTTAAAAACTAGTACAGAGTATATATTAAAAGCAATATTACTAATCCCAATAATTTACCAAGTATTATTACTACATCCGTCTTACTAACATTGACACATGAAGAGGGTCATTAATGAAATATGGTTGATGTAGTTGATATTGAATTGATAGAGAACAAGTAAAAATGATTTAGAAACACACAAAATTTACCATACTTGGCATTAAAAAAAATTAGTGGGACGAATTGAAAAACAAAGATGAGAGAATCTTTGTGACGGAGAGAGTAATTATCAACACTTGTACTTATAGTAGTACTTAGATGTTTTTACTTGTAATTTGTTGGTCTGGTCTGGTCTAATTTGGTCTGGTAAACGTCTGGTCTCTGTGTATTTTATAATACGGAAGTCAAGTCTGGTCTGGTTTGGTCTGGTCTGGTTTGGTCTGGTCTGGTCTGGTCTGGTCTGTTTAAGTCCAATCTGGTCTATCTTGATTTATTTAAGTCTGATCTAATCTAATCTGATTTGAGATGGAAAACATTTTAAATAAAAACATCCATGACGTTACATATACGGAGTATAGGGGTAGTAGTATATCTTTTAAAATTAGGGGGTAGTAGTATATCTTTTAAAATTGGTTTGTTCCATTTATCTGATTATAGTTTCAAGTATTGTGGGGCTTGAAATAAACACTCCTACGGATTACAAATTAAAAAAATTCGTACTTCAAATTATTTTCTGGCGCACACATCTCAATCACCACCTAAGAAAAGTATGAACTACAAGTACATAAATAGCACTGCACCCGGCCAGACATTATGGTCCTGTGGAATCCCAACTATCCAGCTTTTGTTAAGATTGGGGTTCCATGACTTCCATCCTAAAAGATCAACATATTAGAAGAAGTAGTTCATATGTTAATATAGCACTTCGTTGATCCAAACTTTTCCGGTGTGGGACATTTAACACCCATCCTCACGACAAGACATTTCGTCTGGATCGTGCAATCATTCATTTTTTTCATCGGTCTGTTTTTATTTATCGGACCGTAATTGTCATTTTTTTTATAATCGTGTCATCACGATTCATAAGGGGCCCACACCATGTATCAATTTGGCTCTGATACCATGTTAAGACCCGAGGTTCCATCCTAAAAGGTCAACCTGATAGGAGGAGTAGCCCAAAGCCTTATATAGCGTTTAATTGTTTTATAGCTTTCCGGTGTGGGACAAATGCTTTAACACGCCCCTCAGCCCGAACCGGGCTGGAAATATCGGGGTGTATAAACGGGCCAAACAAACCCTTAGCAAGCTACCCTTAATCATGGGTGCTAAACAAGCCGTCAAACCATAACCGAAATTGGCTCTGATACATGTTAAGACCTGGGGTTCCATCCTAAAAGGTCAACCTGTTAGGAGTAGCTCATGTGTTAATATAACACTTTGTTCATTCAAACTTTTCCGGTGTGGGACATTTAACAACTTTCCCAGCGGCCGCTGTCTAGCTCTGCCGTGCAGCTACTCCCTCACGGCGGTTTCTCAGATTCTCCGTAGCTACTTCAGTTCAAGAAGCTGTCAAGGTGGAAACTGCGTTGACCCATTTCCCCCCACCCGCCCCTGTTAAAAGGAGTTCTTTTCTGCTATATTCTGTTCCTTGCGTGCTCTTCAATATGTTATCTGTTAGATCTTATATTTTCGAGTAATTATTAGAGTTCTAACTAGAGAATTTCTTCTTGTACACATTTTTATACCCATCTTATACTCACCATGTCTGCGAGGAGTTTTCTTTGTCTGTGAATCCGATTAACAAACAAAATAATTTACATAGACATATTTTGTCTGTGACCGGGATTTATAGACAAAAAAAATTTCTCACAAGACATGATAGATACAAAAATCGGTACAAGAGTGAGTATAAATAATTTTTTTTGTTCTAATTATTAAGTGCGACCTACTGTTTTACCTTTTGCTGAAACGGCTCCAAAGTCTACTTTTTTTTTTGTTTGCTTTATACGAAGTATGAACCTTTTGCTTTTTTTTTTTTTTGGTTTCTTCCAGGAAATAGCTCCCTCTTTTTTCACGCCTGTATTGGTCATATTTAAATTATTATGAGTAATTTTTTTATCCAAAGATGTAATTTTCGATCCCTTGCACTAAATTATATCGAATATAATAATAAGAAAAAGTTAAGGTTAAAGTTACTTTTCTAGCTATATTGACTGAAATTATTGTAGATGACCATTTTAGCTATTTTTTCATACAACTTTTTTCTTTATTTATTAATAAAATATATTTTAAATAAAATTTTTCATAAATCAGCAGAATCATTCAATACATCCACTTCAACCGAAACTTCATTAATTTCATTCGATTTAGGCTCTATAACTTTTAAGCCAAAGTATTGGATTCTTTAATTTCAACGAGAAGAAAAAAGTGTTTTGGACTTTTATGGGTGGGGTGTGGGTATGGACAATGTTATTTAATTAAATAATTATAAATATAGAATCCTGTTTATATAAACGTGACCAATTTGATCAAGAGCACTCGAGCTTTTCAAGCTGCTAATATTCTGGTTTTAAAAAGACAAACTTTGTTTTTTTTTTGGTTTCCCAGAAAGCTTGGAACTGCAAGCTGGTTAGAGATTGGAGGGAAATAGGAAAGGTCTATAAATTTCAGATTAATATGTACTTATTCTTTAATACATTCAAATGAAGCCTGAACAATAGTTTTCGAACTCAAAACAATATTTCCAATGAAATATAAGGCACTTGATAGAGAGGAACATACAACAAGATAAGTTTAAGAGCCCGTCTGGCAACCCAGTTTTTTGGCTTATCAGGCTTATCAGCCAGCTTTTTCACCAAACACGCAATTTTTGCTTTCGCGCGCTGAATTGTGTAATAAGCAGAAAAAATAAGGTTAGAGTTACTTTTCTGGCTGTATTGGCTGAAGTTACTGTGGATGACTATTTTAGCTATTTTTACATATAATTTTTTCTTTATTTTATTAATAAAATATACTCTGTATTTATTTATTTTTTTCTTAAATCAGCAGCATCAGCCAATGCAGCCACTTCAGCCAGAACTTCATAAATTTCAGCAGAATCAGCCAAAACAGCCAATTCTCATCCTACCAAACGGGCTCTAAATCAAATACTTAGTCTGTTTTTGTAATGCAGCGTTTTCAGAGTAAATATAGCATGTTTGATGTAAATAGAGTCTTCGATTTGAAATTCAATTGTTAGGTTACGATCCGGTAATATATTTAAAATGAGGTTTGAATACAAGTGAGATAGAATTTCATCAATTTCAACAGAATAAGCTGATTCATCTAATTCCAGTGTTGCCAAATAGGCTTTACATTCCTTTGATTCAATAATCTCAAATATTTACTTATCAATGTAGAAATAATGGATTTACTCCATATCCATATCTAGACGGGGCTAATTCAAGTCTTGACGAACTCCGTGTTCGATAAAATCTTTATTTCTTGATAAAATTTGTTTAAAATTTTATATGAAAAAGTGATAATTGAGCATGTTACATACTTCGTACTATATAGGAAGGCAGAGGAATGTTCAGGTCCGAACATTCCTGGTCCGAATAACGTCCGAACATGGACGTTTGGGACCCTTCCTGGTGGAATTTTTTGATGAAATTTTTTGAACATGTTTCTCATCAAGTCTAGTTTGTCCATACCAAATTTCAGCTCAAAATTCGGTCGGGAAGGCATTCAAATCATTTTTTGAAGTTGACTGCGTCAAAATATACATATAAAAACGCAGTCAACTTCAAAAAATGATTTGAATGCCTCCCCGGCCGAATTTTGAGCTGAAATTTGGTATGGACAAACTAGACTAGATGAGGAACATGCTAAAAAAATTTCATCAAAAAATTCCACCGGTAAGGGCTACAAACAGGGATGTTCGGACGGAGGATCCTGTCCGAACGTTCGGAACTGATCATTTTTGTGGAAGGTAATAGTATTTTTTTTAAATTGGTTTGTTGCATTTTTCTGATGCAAAATGTTGTTGGTACACATATTTTGTACACATATGGTGTACACCTCCACATACTGTACACATATGGTGTACACTCCGTAGTTATCTGTCTATACAGACAATTCGTCTAGAAGTTGTCTTGTAGACAGACAACTAATAGGGGTGTACACTATATCTATACAAAATGTGTATATTATAAGGGTATGTTTGCATAAGATAAAAAAAACGATTTTCGACTGTTAGACTAAAAAAGCTGAAAACTTCTCCTTAAATTAAACACTTAAAA